TTGACGACTAATGTCTGTAGAAAAACTTCGGAATATGAACTATTCGATAGACTGTTTTCTACGCTCGAACTCATAACACTTGCTTTTGAATCTGAATTTTTGGACTTGTGACACATGATGGCATGCTGTTTACCACCGCAAAGAGTGCAAGTTAGGGACACACGACATTTCTTGGAAATATGTCCATAATTCAAGCAGATATAATAACATACTTTTCCAAAAAGTTTCTTCTTGCGGTCAAATAATGTCCACTTTTTTGCTTCAGTGCAGAGTTCGCTTGGATGATTTCCATTACAGAAATTACATTTTTTGTGAAGTTTGTTATTTATCAATGCAGCTGCGGTTGGTAGAGAAGAATTATGTTTTTGGGAATTATTTTTCTTCTAGAATTTATCCTGAATGCCGAATCCAGACGTAGCCAAAGTTATTCTTTCGTCATTCTCGACTTCTTTCCTGAGAAAATTCATCAACTGGTCTAGGCGATCTTTGAGTGTAAAGTCACTATCGTAAAGACTGCTTCGTTGCCATACTCGTAAAAGGTCTTCCGGGAGACAAGACTCCATTAAAGGATATAATGTGACTGCACAAGTATCTGAAGTTACATCGAGGGTCTCCAAAGCACGCAATTGGGATTCCATTTTGTCATAAAGGATGCTAAGGTTATTTTGAGTCGACAAATTGTTCAGTAATAGTTTCAACAACTCACGCACGTAGAATTCTATAAGAAGATCTTTCCTCCCAAATCTTTCCTTTAAGCTTTCAATTACTTTTGGGTAATTTTCTGCACTAGGAGGGTAACTATCTATGAGTTGACAAGCTTTTGAATTAGGTATTGATGCTTGGATAGATACTGAAATTTGTCCTCTGATGCAATGTCTTCATCATCATGCACCCTCTGAAACTGACTCCAAAAGGGAAGCCATTCTTTGATCTCACCACCAAACTTCCTAAATTCAATTTTTGGTAGTTTGAGTTTTTCTTCGTTTCATTGGAGTATTGAGAAAGAGAGTCAGCAATAATGTTCTTGTTTGAAAGATTTTCAACTAAAAGTTTGACTTTAAAATACTTGTCAGAGTATTCATCAGCTGTAGATATTTCCTTGTTCGAAGTCTTCGTCGTCTAATGAAAAATCCACCTTTTGTCTATGCAAATCCATCAGGACCTTGATTTTCTGCTCCAAAATATTAATTTTGCTGAATATAACAATCTTTTCAGTATTTTCTTGGCCAAACAAGTTCAAAATATCATTGAAAACCTGTTCAAATGTTCTTCGCTGCACTGCTAGTACCTTCACTACCTTTTTCATAGTCGGTGTCCTGCCACGGTCGCCAAATGTTAAATATTCGAAATTAACCTACCCGGTGACTGAATACGTCGAATGTAGGACGAAATATGGATCGGAAACTATGAAAGTACTCAACAAACCCAAATATATTTAAAAAACGTTCAATATAATTGACTTATCAATCATATATCAATGACAGTTTGTTATTTGACAACTCTTGTTACAGAGAATACAATGTGTACAAAAAAAAGTATAACAAATTCAGAAAATGAACTATCTGCGACAGTACTATTTAGTTGTTTTGAGTTTATTTTTTCAGACAGGAAACATTTTTGAATACGATTTCACTGAATACATTGAATGCTATTTTCAAGACAACAATCGATCAAAAGCGATAACTTATCGGGCCAAAAAACCACGGCAAGATGTATTGGAAGTATTTATTTTCAATATATTTCAGACGATGTGAGTTTACATTCATACTTGTACAAAAATGTTTGTTTTTCGTGAATAAAATTCGTGTTTTTACGTCCAAAACTTTAAATTTTCGAATCTATATGAAAAAAGGACCCCGCACCATTCTTATGGAAAATCGATTTCAGTGAAAATCGCAGAAATTTCAATATGATGTAGCCCATGCCATCCTGAGCAAAAGTCATCATTGAGCCAACTCTCTCCCTGAATGCCGGCGTTTGGATTCTACAAGGGGAAATAGTCCACAATATGTGCATTAAAAAGTTGAAATGATAAAAGTTTCTAGAATCAAAACTGGCGGGTATACAGAGGGTTGATCTTTGTTTTTAGTCATTTTTATCGAACTTTTTTCGAGAAAATATTCGTTTTCCAGCAAATCCATATGCAATTGACGTTACTTTCAGTACATGAGATGCCGATCATATTTTGCATTCGCACCAACTATACAACTTTAAATATACGGGGCGATCAAAAATAATTTTCAATTTCGAAAAAATGTATCCCTTTGTATAGTCAGCTTACATCTATATATTCACCTGATTTTTTTAAACTGTGTAGTTGATATATAAACAAATGCGTCAACGTCTGTGCTCATTCATCTAAATCCAAATAAAGTTGCGGCGATGGTCCAGAAAATATGGAGAAGGGATGTTTCGGAATAATTTTGAAATGATTTCTAAAATCCTTCCTGAATTTCTTTTATTTTCTGACATAATGTAAATGAATCATTCTTGATGGAAAATTTCCAGTGTCTACCTCGTGATGCCATGATTTGAATTATACAGGGGTTTGAAGTATAGTATTTCATCGATTTCTCGAATAATCAATGATTGTCCTAGACAAACTTCGGAACATTTCAATGACAAAATTGTCTGAAATGGGAATTCATGAATATACAGAAGTTGCAACTCGTACAAAAAATCCAAAATAGTAGTATTTGTTTAATATTCATATTGTATATATTTATGAGTTTTATTAGGACCAGGACCACCTCGTCTGAACCCGATAAAAAAAATACACGATGAAAACAATAATCTATTGTCGAAAGACATCGTATGTCTTTTGTTAAAGAAGTGTCTTTTGGAGTATGTCGTTATGCGTATTAGTATAAAATATATTTCTATTTTGCACCATCGAAGGTTTTCACAATTCGTTCTAATAATGGAAGATGAAAAATTATAGAGAGAAATGCGCATAAGTTGAAAATCAACGCACTCAAGTCTGAAGTCATGATATTTGGAAAAAAGAAACATCACATTGAAACCATTATGAGAATTAAAATTCAAAATGAAGAGTTACTGTTTACAAGTGACGCAAGGAATTTAGGTTTACACTTAGATACAGAACTTCGATTTGGAAAACATATTAACTTTTGTTTTCAAAAGGCTTATCATTCATTGAAAATGCTTCACCCTCATAGATAGGTATGTTTTTTACAATCACTCAAAAAAACGTTAAGTGATACACTTGCCCTGAATCACTTTAAGTTTTGTGACGTTCTGTATGAACCATGCTTAGATCATAACGATATCAATCGTATAGAAAACATACAGAATTCATGTCTCACATTGATCTACGGTATTTGGAAATATTATACAATATCTCCCAAGCTAATATCCGCTAAGTGGTTAAAAATATAAGATAGTAATCAATGAACAGTGTTTCTCCTATCTTTACAATTAAATAAAATATAGGACAGATCGTCATATCATTAATTTACGTCGTAGCGGTCATATCTCGCTTTCACCTTACAAAATTTCTCTTTTCCGAAAAAACTTAACCTACAATGTCTTCAAGCTTCATAATGAGATCGACCCATCAGTTCGTACTGTGAAACTATATTCATTTCGATACAAAATGAAAGACAGTCTCTTGACCAAGAACGAATAACTCAACGATTCCACAGATAATATTTATTTATACTTCAACATTTTCAAAATAAAAAATTATGATTATACTTATAAATTGGCGCTGAACTAGAACTTTTTCAAATTGTTTTCAACTCCATTTTGCATTTCTGTTCATATTATTTTTTATATGTATTTACACCTTTTTGTTTCGTCATCCTATCTGAAATATTTTTATGTTTATATCGAGCCATGTAACTGAATGCAAATAAAAAGTATTATTATTTTTTTTTTAATACTGAAGTATGCGCTGGTCAGGCCCTATTCCCCGAAGCCCCGATACATTCGCGAGGGCGCGCCAGCATTATCAAACACTCCCCACACCGTGGAGTAAGTGATCATTGGGTCCGAGAATCATTTGCCCTGAGCAAGCGCAGTGAGCCTTGACAGCCTTCTGCATCTGTGCGGCTAAGATTTCTGCCTTAGTGCGGCAAGACGGTATGATTTTAAGATTCGAGAGTGGAGAGGACGTCATTCTACCACGGACTCCAATAATCGGAACAACCATCTTGACAGAGTGGTCTGGATAGAGTCTGCGGAGTTCGAAGAGAAAATTTTGATATTTTATCCGTTTTTCCTCCTCTTTTCTGACGATATTCATCTTGCAAGGAGCTGAAAACTCCACGACAAATATCGTTTCGGTCTGGTGGTCGAGAAGGACTACATCAGGCTTATTAGCTTGTATGAGCCTGAGGGTGGGGAACGAATAGTTCCAATAGATTCGGCACTTCTCTCTCTCTCTCTCTCTATACCCATCACGCGACTGCGGTAGACTAATGTGTTGAAGACACCATCCTGGCAAGCCATGATGAACCCCTCAGTTTCCGACTTCAGCCCACCCGACTTGAGAAAAGCGAACGTCAGGCGCTTTGATAAGCCAAGGTCTCCAATGTTATTGAAGAAGATCCCATGCATTGGCTTATCCTTGTGTCTCCGCAGAAGTGAGGTGATATCTGCGGCTTTTATCTGAGCTTTTTGCTGAACGGGTTCCAACTCGGTGACAGAGTTGTGGTCACCTCGTTCAGAATCGAAAACTATGCCGAGTTCATCAGCTGCTTGGGCAGCTGCCCTAAAGAGAAATGTCCCAAATTCCTACTCTCTCATGGTCACAGACCATGCAGAGAAGGAGATCCGAACTCCTGACGACTTAACAGGCTGTATCCAGTACCATTCTGCCATGTAGATACTCCAAACTCTAAAGTCCACGACCTTCCTGTTGTCGGGGGAAGTACAACCGTGGAACGAACGATTCGGGATGCAAACTCCTATAGCCCTACAGCGGGAGCGTTATGTCTGGTAGACCGACAAAATATTTAAACCTGTATATTATACGCATGCGCAAATCCAGCACCGTCACCACTGGTGTACCTTCATGTAGCGGCAAACTGTGTGTCAGTGCCTATTCATACTTTGAAATGACCGGTTGTTCCCGTTTTATAGCCAAATTCGGTCTGAAAGACGGATGCGCCTACTGGCGTACACTTTTTCCCAGTGAAATTTTGAGATTATGTAAAGGCAAAGGTAAGTGTTTCTACATTGTTCACATGTTTTTTTGGTTAGGTATGACAGTTTTTTTGATTTGTTTGATAAATTACTAAATATATGAAGTTTGAAGAAATTTTTTTTTTCAAAACGGTAGTTGAATAACTTTTTCTCTGTTTTTTTTTGTCAGTGTCAATATTTGAATACTAATGAATACAATTTTCAGGCATGGAATACGAGCGTGATCAAGCACGACTTAGATATTTGATGGATATGGTACCAACAGATGACGAAGGGGAAAGTCACGACTCTGACGATGATTCGGAGGGCGAAATTGACATGGTGGAGGAGAGGGACGGTGGAAGCGAATCCGAACAAGAAATATCAGATTGTGAAGAGGAAGAGGAAGATGATACTATTGTTGCTATTGCAGCCTCATTTTTGGGAAAAGATAAAAAAACAATATGGATGAAACATGTTCCACCTAAAAATGTAAGAACTAGAAGTGAGAATATAGTAAAACGTCTTCCGATATCCAAATTGCCTACACGTTGTTTGCAAACACCGAAAGATATCTTTCAATTTTTCATAGATGATGCTATGATAGCAATTCTGGTCGAAAATACCAACTTATACATTCAATCCATATCATCGAAGTATGCTAGATATAGAGACGCTAGACCAACAGATACTATTGAAATGCGAGCACTTTTAGGTCTACTGTTATATGCCGGAGTTATGAAATCAAGCCGTTTGAACGTTGGGGAATTATGGAAATCAGATGGCTCTATTATTGAGATATTAAGATTGGGAATGTCAATAAAACGATTTCTTTTCTTACTGCGCTGCCTGAGGTTTGATAATAAGGATACCAGAGAAGAAAGAACAGCTATCGATAAATTAGCACCTATCCGTAATTTTTTCGATTTGTTCGTTACTAAGTGTAAGGATGGATACAGTTTATCTGAATATGTCACAATTGATGAGAAATTAGAAGGTTTCCGAGGTAAATGTAATTTCAGGCAATACATTCCTACCAAACCTAACCGCTACGGAATAAAAATTTTTGCTCTCTCAGATGCTAAAACCTTTTACACTGGCAATTTGGAAGTTTACGTTGGACAACAGCCGGCCGGGCCATACGCAGTTAGCAACAGCCCAGGTGATGTGGTAATGAGACTTTGTGACGAAATAAAAGGGTCCGGAAGAAATGTCACAATGGATAACTGGTTCACGAGTGTACCCCTTGTTGACACTTTGCTGAAAAATTTCAAACTCACAGTAATAGGAACAATGCGGAAAAATAAAGGAGAGCTCCCTCTTGAATTTTCTAAGCCAACTCATCCAGTCGGAGCAAGCATGTTTGGATTCACGAGAAATAGCATCGTGTGCTTTATCCCCAAAAAAAAGAAAAATGTTTTACTAATTTCTTCGCTACATCACGATGACAACATAGATATACAATCTGGAAAACCAGAAATTATACTGGATTACAACGCAACAAAAGGCGGCGTGGACACTGTTGATAGACTATGCGCAAATTATAATGTTGCTCGCAACACTAGGAGATGGCCCATGGTTGTATTTTATTCTGTTCTCAACGTGACTGGAATAAATTCATTCGTAGTTTACTGCTCTAATTCTCCCAATCCAAATCTCAAAAGACGTAAGTTTTTGCAACGTCTGGCTATGGACCTAATACGTCCGCACTTAGTTGTTAGAGCGACAATTCTCAATATTCCAAGAACCTTGAGGGTTTCTGGAACAAATACTGCCCCGGGAAATACTGTCACCCCACCAGAAGGTCAAATAGGAAGGTGTAGGGTATGTAGTACAAAGAAGAGCAGAAAAACCCGCTTTTACTGCCGCAAATGTTTCAAGTTTTTATGTTTAGAACATATAGGCGTTATTTGTAATGAATGTTCTGAAAATAACTAAAATTAGGTTTATAGTTCACTTACCTATATAAATCTTATTCACTTGTGTAGTAAACGTTTTTTTAATATGTAATATTTTTAAAAAATAGGGTTGGTTAGGTTTATACTTTATAGTATTTCTAGTATTCTGAACTGTGTTCATTTTCATAAATCAATAAAGTGTGTAGTAATATAAAAACATTCTTTGTTCAATTTCTTCTACCCAGCGTATGAACATAACAAAAAACCCACCTTCTATAATTTCGGTCTACGAGACGGGCGCGCCTTCTGAATCCCAATGTTTTCACGCGCCCGCTCTAGGGATAGAGATGCATCATTTTTTGGGTCTTTACGTCGAGTTGATACAGCTCCTCCCGAGTCCACTTCACTACTCCAAACGAGTAGAGTAAGATTGGAACGGCAAGCATATTTGTTGCAGCAACTTTGTGCTTCTCCGATGATCAGATCTGTCGAAGTTTGTGCTGATACTTGCCGCGGAGAGAGTTTTTCACTGATGTTACCTCTTGTGAGTGGCGTTGTTCCACCCCGAGGTGATTATACGTCTCTCCGGCATCCAGATGGTGTAGAATGCTTCCATCTACGAGCTGCACATCCTCTCCGTAGTCCCCGCATCGTCCTCTTTTGAAATGGACCATTGCACATTTGTCTATCCCGGAAATCATACCGATAGCATGCGTGTACTCTTCCACCACCTTCAAGGACAGATGAAGATCCTTCTCTCCAGAGGCATAAAATTTAAGATCATCCATATAAAACAGATGAAATACTCAAGGTTTCCCGGTTTCCGGGGGTGCCACAGTTATACCCTCGAGTATTTCTAAGCGCAACGTATAATGGCAATACTGAGATGCAGAAGAGAAGAGGACTGAAGGAATCACCCTGAAATACACCCCTTCTGAAAGTGACCCACCCTGTTTGGACTCTTGCTTGACCAGATGTTATGGTGAAGCGAGTTCGCCAAAGTTGTGTCAGTTGTTCAATGCATCTCACTATGTTGTCGGGTACCGCAAGGCATCTGAGCAAATGCAAGATGAGCTCATGCGAAATTGTATCAAATGCCTTACGGTAATCGATCGAGGCCATAGAGAGGTTACCCATATATTGTATCGAGTCCAGCGTTACACATCTATCGATGAGCAGGTTCTCTTCACATCCAGCGACTCCTCTCTTCGACCCTCTCTGCTCATATATCCGTTCGAACACTTGGTCAACTGCGGTGAGTATTCGTGTGTATATTATCATTATTATTATATGCTTTGGTTCATATCCAGATCTTCATAACTGCCACTATCCCCCATAAATTGTGACTGCCACTGACCTATATATGAAATATGTATTGATGTGAGAACATAAAATGAATTCAGCATGATTCCAAACATATGGCCTGATTCAGCTACTGAACTGAGTCGAATAAATTCAGTACATTTTTTCCATGAAGACAGCCTTTCGAGCGAGTCCGAAACGAGTTATACCGGTTTCGGAGTTTTGCCCCTCATCCGTGTAGGGTAGGTCTTATATAGATATCACTGAATAGAACATGCGACATTTTCACAAAACTAGCAAAATCTATTACAATCATCGCACATAATTCAATTGCAATGAAGAATAAGAATACAAAGATTAGACTTCAGACGAAATGTCATGCATCCAAATTGATCACTTACATACCGGGTTTCGTGAGGTGGTATTTAAATAAATTGTGAAGAGTTTATTCACCGGCATGACTGTGGTTTCACTACCCAACTATTTCAAGCGCACCATCAGGAACCATTTATTTGTTGATAATAAACACTTCAGGTTCATCAACATTGAGATAGATGAAAAGTAGTGGTGAATTCGGATTGGTCATATCGAGGACTCCGAATCTGAAATGAAATGGCTATTTTCGGGTTTTACTTCCCGTCGTTCACTTTCGATAATTTCGACATCAATGGATTCGTTTCGATGCCAAGAAAAATATTTAAGCATTTTTCGAAAGTCATAGGAGAATAACTTTGTTATTAGTGAAGATAGGAGGGAGATGTGGGTACTCTAACATAACAATTTTCACTGGAGAATATGAAAATTGAAAGCATAGGTTTTTTAGCATGCATTTCATTCATTTGGTGGTATATTATAAAATCATTTATATAAAATATATATAGACAGCTGTCTACCGGTGGCTCTTAAATTGAAATCAATATGGGAATGTTCAGAAAGTACTCATCTATTCATATTTTGATTTCCATGGAATTATTTTCCAGCAGCTTGACTGCATTAATCTTTCTCGATTTATATATACAGTGAGTGTCACCATTAAAGTGCGCACCATATGGGAAACTTTTTTTTCGAAAAGTTTCAATGAAGTTTAACTTCGGCACTTGTTTGTGCTTTAAATTTATCTTGAAATGATGCGGCCAACTGCGACCCACTGACGTTCAGTGATTGTCAAATTCAACTTTTTTTTTTGAAAAAAATTGAAAAAGTGCATTTCTAGATCGAATTTAACAAAAAGTTACTTGAAAAAGTTGTATCCACGGCAATTTCATATCCATATGCCAAATTTTATGCAACTAGGATAAAGTTAACGTTTTGCTTATTTTTGACAGATATCCCCTTTATTTTAAAAAACAAGTTCGGTTAATTGTCATCAATTTATGTATACATAACAAACTCATCAGCTCCGAGAAGTCCGTCGAATTCTATGTCGAGATTGTAAATATAGATTTTGTGGGGATCTGTGTCTGAGAAGGGTATCAATACAGATTCAGTTATTGAAATTTTTTGATTAATTATACCTTGGACCATCATATTTTCGGAAAATCGGTTTCTATATTTTTCTGCTGTTTTCGGTTTGAAAATTGAAAGTCCGGCACCTGTGTCGATTAATATTTTGAACGTGTTGGTAGCGTCCCTAATATAATATAAATTTTTTGAATTGACCATTAGAGATTGTCCTAAATGAATTTCTGTTCTGGGAAATTCAAATTGGGGTTCAAATCGTCTATATTCAGGGTTTGAATATGAGTTTGGTTGTAAAGGATCCATTTGAAAATCTTGATTCGGTTGGTAATCTGTGTTTTGGTATTCCGGATAACTAGCAGTATAACTAGCAGTAGTCATAAGAATTTTCGTAAAATTCTTCAGTATTCTAGTATTCTTGATAATTAGCTGTATAATTATCGAAATCTTGCGGGTTGAGATGATGTGTTCTCTGTGTATTTGATCTGTTGAAATTTGGATTCGGTTGAATTGCCGAAGGTCTTTGTTGATTTGGATTTTGTTTTATTACCGGTGGTCTATTTTAATTTGTCACCGGTGTTGATGTATTGGGCCTAAAATTTTGGAATTGCGGGTTTTGTGGTCTTTGGACATTTTGGAATTGAAAATTTTGTCTTTGAATATTTTGTGTGGCTTGGGGATTTTGTTGTCTTACTCTACATTTATTTTGACTGTGTCCCTGTCTCTTACAGATATTGCAAAATTTTTGTTGGATGGAGGGTTGTGGTTTTTTATGATGGATGTTATTTGCATTTTTGTTTAATTTTTGTTGTTGAAAATATGAGAGTTGTAGTTCTCACTTTATTCTTTGAATAGCTTCGAGCATGGAAGCTGGGTTTCCGGCTCTTACTATTTGTCCTCTGCTTGGTTCTAAACCTGACAAGAGAGTATTTAGAGTCATGGTTTGTATTAAACTTTGTTGTGCCTGCTTTTCTTCTGAAGAAAGCGGTTGTTTTTGAATTGTTTCGTGCATTTATGCATCGTGGGTTTGAAGTCTGTTTATGAATGTTAAAGGGGACTTATTGGGCATTTGATGGATTCTTTGAAGGTTTTGTATCAAAGAGGCTAGATCACGTGTGTCAGCAAAATATTGGATCAACAGTAATTTAATTTCATCCCATGAACTGATGAGTTCTGCTGCTTTTCCTTTCAATTTGTTTTTGATATGTAATGTTACTAAAATTTTTTGATCTCGTACAGTCATGCGGTAAGCAGTATTACAAGCATGTAAAAATGTATTGATGAAAATCTCCATCGTACTCAGGTATAATTGAAAATATTTCATTGAGTTTGTAATGCTCAAGTTCAGGTAGAGGGTTTGCATTTGGCATGATGTTTGACAATAGAACTGGTATTTGACTTATAAATATTCAGTTTAAAAAAAAGAAAAATATGAAAAAGTCATGATGATTCTTTTTCACTCAACAAAGTTTGTTCATAGAGGATGAAATTCTACTTCACAAGCGTTGCTCCGAGAGAAGTCAGCGTTCGCGTGTTCTTCCGCCGTTGAAGAGATCGTCCGTCTGAGGTCCTGTTGGCCTGGGGTTTGTTGGTTCTTCCTTTGAAGGATTGGGATCCACCACTACCGGTTAGGCTTGTTACGTGTTTCGTCTAGTGTTGAAGGATCCTACCGACTGCGCCAATTTGTTATATCTCACTTTTGAAATATAAGTTTTAAAAATTATTCATTTTGAAAATGGGGAAACAGTACTGATTTCCCCTGAGTTACAGAATGTAAAATAATATAAAGTAACAAAAGTGTACTTGAATACAATTCTAATAACTTGTGAGTCAGATAATTCGTAACTAACTTATTTCGTCACGCAGGACTGTATTTATAGAAACATATTGTTTACATGTTCTAAAAATGAAATACGAAGAAGAAAGAGTCTTTGTGTCGTCTTGAAGAGTTGCGTATATGCAGGTGTTGATTCTGCACCATCCCCGTTGACATTGGATCTTGCTTACTTTGAGTCACCTTGGTTATGAATGGAGAAAATTTGTGAATAGGAATATATTGTTCGGGTAAACTGGAACAGATCTTGGTAATGACTATACAGTCCAGATTGGAATGAGGAGAGATTTTAATAGGTTTCACTAAACAAGTTACACCTTGTTCAGAAAAAGAGTCTTTCTGAGCAATGCCAGAAATAGAGATACAGATGAGAACAGTTATCTCATCTAGAGGTCAACCTGAACGGTGAGCACATTTTGAGGAGATAAAAAGACTGGTTTGCACTGTCTAGGACAGCTCTAACTTTATGGAATATTTCATGTTTTCCTTTGACTTAAATTATAACAGTAGAGAGAAGGACAGTGGAATTACAATGAGATATTGACACGAGGTTGAGAATAATCAGAATTATCTGATAAGCAAACAGCATTTGAGGTACAAGGTTGATCATCATTACTGAATGAGGGTCGAGAAACTATTTCAAAATGCAAAAGTGTGTGGTATCTACAAAACATTCTTTGTACATAGTGGTAGAAGAGCAAACACGAAAATTATGGCAAAAACCTACGCAATTAGAATACCAATTTTGAGATTCAACCAAAGAAAATCTTTCTTTGGGATATTGAGCTAGAAAGAAAGGACAATTATTAATCAAATGTGTTTCTTTGCAAAGTCGACATTTATTTTGAGTATTTGAAATGGAAGATGAGCGTTTTAAGTTTACTTTCCAAATTATCATTATTAAATGTAGAGAGTTCAGGTTTTGAAAGAGGCCTTGAAGGTTGAGAACTATTGAGATTTACTGATTCCGACGCGGTGCGTCGTTTTTGCAAAAAGCTAATTGAAGTGGCATAATGAAAGTGTTGCAAATTACATCTTTATTCTAATTCAGAAGTAGTGACCGTGGCAGAATCTAACCGATCTATGAGCATGTGAAATAAAGGAAAGTCCCATTTGATGACATCTTAACCTTTATTGTCAAACAAAGACAACTTTCCTTAAAAAAACATTCAATACATTTCTCAGCGAGTAATAGTTTCTAGAAGTATTCTGATTACATTGAACTATAGCCTGCCAATGAGCGGTTGCAATTAAACGATTATTTACATGTCTCTGTGTCAAATTATTGTAAGCATTCAATTAATTCTGACCAGTTGAAGAGGTACGTTCAAAAAGAGCTAAAGGTTCATTTTGCAAAGAAGAAATGAGACAATTGAATTTGTCAATGTGAGTTAATGAACTATTAATATCGTAGGTGTCTATGAAAGTTTGCCAACTCTTTGGTTCTCTACTGAACATTGATAACTCAATTTTGGGTAATTTGACACTTATACTAATGACAGAAGACACATTTGACGAGTCACTCAATGAAGAAAAAAAAGAGATGAATTTCATAAAATTCGTCCATGAACAAACTGTGAATATCATGTTGGGAGACAAGATCATCGCTGTCTGTCGAGGCTAATAAAGCAGTCAAATTATTGTGAATTTCCCGAAAAGCATCATTTATCGTATCAATGTGTTTATATCCACACTGAAAATCCACTCATCATTAATTGCGTTATAAGTCACAAAAAGGATTCAAAGCTTTATAACTTCTATTTAATTATATGCGAGCGCTTTCGACAGCTGGTCGTTCTGTTCACGGGGATGCAGAAAATTTTTCCTTTGGCTTTGTGTATCACATACATAAGCTGTTTTAATTACAAAGAAAAATAATCTCATCTAATTCAACTGTTTTCTATCATAATCAATAAATTTTATTGTTTTTTTTGTACAGTGTGACTCAGATGAAACATTCAGATCTGAAACTGGAAAAAACATTTATAGAAATTAGACACAACCTAGTAAAATATGATGACATAAATACTCTGAGTTTGAAAGTTAAATGCAGAGTTTCGAGAAAAATATTTTTACAACTGGAATTTTCAATCAATAACTTCAAATTATCACGGTAATCATATCTGCTATAGTTTCTATAAAAATTTGATTGAATTTACCATATACAATGAAAACTCTATTGCCAAAATATCAGTATGATTACTTAATATTGAACCTCACCACAATAGTCTGTGATAGGAGATACAATTTAGTTGAAGTATTATTTTTACATTTTTCAAGAGATATATATCAATATGTTGTTGGGAATAAAATATTAATGCAAATCAAATCGTAACGATGGCGTATATTCTGAAACATATCCCATTTGAATCACCAACCAAAGCGACAAAGAAACGAAAAAACGAAGTTTTACTGAGATTACATTTCGCAAATTTCATGTAAAAGAAGTGTGGTTGGAGATACAATTCATTTTTTCCGGATTGCTAACTTTTTAATTCATAATTTTTTTTAACTAGAAGAAAAAAGTTGATGATTTATATCAAGTGAATGAGAGAATTTTCCAGAATAGAACTATACCGTTACGTTATGAATCATAATTAATGAAATATGATGGAGAAAGTCATGTTGCAATTTTGCTGAACGTGGTCAGTTTAAGATTTCAATTGGTGATATACACCCTAGTTACAGAACTGAAGTTTCATCAAGTCTCTCCACAATTCTCCCCGAATTCATATTCAAAAAAGGGTAGCAATATACACTTACTTCAAGTAGGTACAGGGTTTTGTCACTTCCAAAATTAAAGACACCCTCTTGGAAGGATAAAACATAAAGACTGACACCGCGAACTAGGTACTTGAATCATTCAAATATTTTTTTCAACAACAAACGCTACAAAAAAAAATCATTAAGGCGCTCTAACAGTGGTGCCTTTGCGAAACTAGTGATTCACATTGGATTTGAATCGCTGGAGATTAAATCCATCTCGGAAAATATTCGCAGAAAATTCATTCCACATAAACGCCGTTCTTCAAAAGAAAGAGTTCGTGAACAGTGAAGTTCGAGGTGTACTGAGTTGAACCTCAAAACGATGAGCAACTACATTCCGTCAATTATTTCTGATATATACCTCTCTTGGTGGAATCAAATGTGTCAAGTCACTTGAACACTTCTCGTGAAAGTATCTATAGAAAAGAGACAAATTCCCAACCTTTCTTCGATGTTCCCGACTATCAAGGTTGCAAGTGATGGCGAATGACTCTTTTCTGGATGGAATCCAGTAGCTTCAGGATATACTTAGGGGCGGAGCGCCATACAATACACCAAAGAAAGTCTGATCTGAGCTTTAGAAAGCATCAAAAGTTGTTGAGGTGTGTAGAGTTCTCTGGTTCGGAACAGTGTTTCAAGCTTTTGAAGAGCAGCCTTCGCAATTCCAGCGACATGATTATGTCAAGACATATTGGTGTCCCTTTTAACCCACAACAAACTTATCGAAGCAAAAAGCGGAATTGTCTGACCTGAGATGCCTGGGATAGGCAACCTCCTGCTGCCAGTGAAGATGTGCATTCGCAGCCAAAGTCCTGGAATCCAAATGAAATGACGAGGCAAGTGTGCTGTCGTCGAAAAAGCAGTATATAGGATTCTTGGTTTTTTCCAATGAGTTGTTGATAAACAATTAAATAGGGTTTGAGATAATATGGATCCCTGTGAAACACCAGCGTTTATTGTGAAAGAATTCGAGATATATCCATCGACGGCACGCAAACCCTCATGCTAGACATGGTCAAAGGCCTTAGAAATATCAAGCACAGCAGTTCTTGACTCTCCATGTTTCTCGAATGCGTTATTCCAAATATGGGCGACATACGATAAAAGGTCGCCTGTTCATCTTCGTTTCCGAAAGCTATATTGACGATCGCTCAAGATGTTGAAGCCTTTCAAATATTGAAGGATATGGTGGTTTACGGCTTCTCCATGAATTTTGATATCACTGATAGCACAGCGACTCATCTATAGTTATTTGGAAGATTTTTCCTGCCCTTTTTGGGAAAAGGCTGGACGCGAGTAATCTTCCAACAAGAAGGAAAATCTTCTTTATTATAAGACAGGTTGAGGACCCTGCAAAATACTGGTGGGAGATCATTTGCGCACTTTTTGAGTACGATGACGGCACTTCATTAGGATCAGAGGCTGTTTCAGAATTCGCCAAACTAGACGTTGTCAAAAAGTAGTTTTCGGCATTGTGGATTCTAGTGTAGGAATAGTGGGTGGTATCTTTCCCAGAAAATCTACTATGGAGTGGGATGAAAATTGTTTAGCTAGTAGATTTGCTTTTTTCATGATTGTTGCAATTTAACCATCCACTTGTGTGAGTGGTGGAATTGTGGATTTTGTTAAGTTTTGATTGACAACTTCAGCTACCGACCACAAAAGTCTAGACCATTTGAGATTGGCAAGCAGTAAGAATAGTGCTCTATATTGTGCCCCATAATATCAAAATTCTGAAGTTTCAGCATTTCCTCTCGTCTACAGGAAATATCGCTACTGATGAAAAGAGATATTCTTGAGTTACGTCTGAATTGACGAGGTTTGTTGGAGCACTGACTTTGGTTTCTGTGAGTGCCAGAATTTCAGGACTGTTTGTTTGCAGATGCTGATGCACTGAGTTTATATTTGAGTTGAGTCCTCTAATGTTGCAAAAATCGATTTTGAATTTGCTAGTGGGTCTCTTAGTAACTGCAGTCACCATGCTATTTCTCTGTATACTGATGTCAGTAAGACCCTGCTAACTGTCGAAAGTGGTGGTTTTCGAGTAGTTTCTGCAGGATGATGTGCTCTCGAATCAGCCCCCACACAGAGATCTGATTGGAAAGCTATGTTACCTTCGGAGTATTTTGAGCCACGCAAATTTTTCTAATATTTCTCCCTTGAAACCGGGAACAGCGGCACAGCAACAAAGCGTTGTCCCGAAAGCAATTTCACGCTGCGTAAGCCGTTGCGATGATATCTCACCTGGCGTTGCCGGGTGGTACCAGCATCTACCATCTTTCTAGCATCTATCATCTTCAAATTCAGCAATACGGAAGTGAAAGGTCAAATATCAGAAAATATCACATATTTTTTTTGTGAATTTTAAGAATGGTATCTCAGTTAAATCTTTCTCTTTGATCTTATAGAATAGAATTGGGAAAAAGTATTATCTAACTTGTGAAGGATACTCTAAAAAATTTTCACAGATACTTTCAGATGTATATGGCTGTAGTCCATTTTCCTTATCGCTCTTCAAAATGTTAAATATTACAAGAACCACTTTTTTCAGTTCTGACCAAACTTGTAGCCGACTGCCATCACATTAATGTCTCAAAAGTTGATTATTTTTGCAAAAACTGGTAGAGAAATCACATCTGATATCCGTACCAGAACATTCTATGACAAAGTGATCGTTTCATTATGGAGAATAAAAGCAGACTTAGTTTCAAAAACATCCTAAAGGTACATTTTTCTAGCGTAGAAACTTGGTGTAAAATTTGCCCTTTTATAAACTTCCTAGTAACTTTTACTCAATTTGAAAAATCAAACCACAAAATCCGGCTCATCACTTGATCTGACATGATTCTTATCAGTAGTCCTCGCCCAGATCACGTTTCGATATTTGTGTTCATCTTATACAGGAAAGAATAACACTGAGTAATTGAAAGTAAGTTGCTTTCTCTGAGAAGAAAAGCAGAATTATAAAAAGCAAGTGATTAAAAATTGACTGGAGTTCACTAAACTCTTGTCCAAATAATGCTATTCCGATCCAAGTATTAGTTTTACTCTTGTTCAATCTAGTTAACTGAGAAATATTTTGGGGTAAAAAAATGTAGGGTTATCTCACCCGGCACTTATAATAGGCAACTGGCGATTTATATAACCTTACTATAATTCTGTTACTTTCGTCTTAGGTTTATATACATTATTCGAGCATTACCTGAACTGCAACAGGAATGCAAACAAGAAGGATGTATTATCGGCACCGCATTCAAGTCACGGATTCCTTATGGAATATATTGACGTGAAACTCGTGACTAATATTCTCAATTCCAGTACAGAGAGGGGGGTGGGTACTGAATCTTCATTTCGGAATTACTTCATTATACAGCAGGATATAATGCTCACTACTTTAGAAATATCAAGAAATTCAAATATTGAAGACGAAACATAACGAATGAAATAAACAAAATAAATGTTGCTATCATTATTAATATTCACCTAACTAGATATAGAAAATGAGTCTCTTTCCGGAAATTATTCCGAAAAAAGTGGATTCTACTTCTCGAAGTCATCTAAATCACTCTACCCCATTTTCGAATAGAATTTGATTCTATGAGGGTCGTTTGACACAAATTGCATTGCGGACTGTATGGATATACGTTAACAAGAGAAATGCCCGTATGTTTCTTATACCGTACACACAAATCTCACCGAATCTTCTTATAGTGCCACCTCTGAGGAGATCTCCTTTTTCTCATGTATCTCGGTTATCACCACTAGCTGATTAACGGACAAACAGATTTAAAACAGATTTAAACAGAGCTTTCCCGTCTGCTACTCAACATAACAACACAGGTTGTTCAGAGGTTCACTTTTTAAACTCGAAAAATGAAAAAAAAATAATCGGAACAGATGAGATTGTACTTTCTCCCTTTTTTAAACAACGATCAAATGTTGTTGTTGTCTCTCGCGCACAGATAACAGCTGATCAACTGTAGCTAGCACGCATGCTCCTCAAATATACTACTTGCTTGCTTTTTCACGCGGTAAAATAGAATTTGGAATAGTTTAATTTCCATAAATTGATGAATGTAGCCGTTACTACGTGGTAGGAAATCATAATGAAAAAAAAATTGAAAATTTCTATGTTTTTCACCACTTTCATTTGTAACTAACATTACTGCAGTTTCATCCTATAAGGACATTTTCAAACTTATACATTAAATTAACAATGGTTCATTACTTATATACCACCCCTGTTGGTACTAATAGAGATACCTCAATATTCACAGTTTACAATGCGGATGTGCCAATTTGAAAACCGGTGGGTAAACTGAATCGATTCAATCAATGTTCATGCTTGTGAATTTCCAAGGATTCTGAATAATTGAGTTTGTAACCCTTCCTTGCATAGTGCAAAATTTCCGTATTGTTCAGATTCGGAAACTTGTGGTTGCACGCCAAGGAATGGTTTGAAAACGTTGAATCATTTTTTTCTAGTCTGAAGGACCTTTCATGTTCAGCATACCGTTTTTGGATATTCCGACCACATTGTCCCAGATAAACAATATTACACTCCGAACACTTAAGCTTATAAACTGCAGATTTCTCCAACTTGTGTCCATCTTATCTTTGGCATTGAAAAGGAAATCAGATAATCTGGGATGTGGTCTGAATGCCACTTTCACATTGGTTTTTTCTGAAGAACCCTATTTATTGATTTCTGGTTGTTTGACCTGAGGGTATATTGATCTGTAAGTGAATTCGCGGCTTTGTTTTCTGACTAACTTGTGGAAAGTATCTGCGTTGAAACAACTTTCATGACCTATCTGTGCAATTTCCCCAGCTAGATTGTTAACAGACAAAGGCAATGAGAATGCTCTGTGCAACATTGAATTGTAGGCTGCTGATTTATGACTCTCTGGATGAAAAGAATCGTTTGGGATGGTTATGTCTGTAGAGCTAGGTTTTCTGAAAACATTGAACTTAAATTTATTCTGATTGTGTGTAATGGTCAGGTCTAAAAAATATATCTGTTTCTTTATATCCGTTTCGAGTGTGAACTGAATATTGCTATTAAGATTATTTATGAATGTCATAAATTGGTTCAGCTGTCGTGTATTACCTCCGAAACAGGCGAGAATATCGTCTACATATCTGTACCAAAAATTAATATTTTTTGTACTCAAGTCGGAATTTACTATAGTGGTCTCCAAGTTGTTCATGAATATGTCTGCTTGCTAAAAGTGGACTGAAGGGTGAGCCCATTGGTAAACCTGATTCCTGTTTATAAAATTTGTTGTTGAACTGTAGGTAGCTCTGATATAGGTACACATCGAAAGCTGTTGAAACTTCAAAGGATGTGATATGGTCTAATTTGGCTTGATCTAAAATGTCTAAAATGAGGGGAAACATACTCTTTACATCGAATGAAACTAAAATTGAATTATGTGACGTAGTTTGGTTCGTTACTAAAGTCAGTGAATTTTTTAATACTATTGGGTGGGACAAAATTGTTAATATTTTTGAACAACCTGTTAAGACGTATTTCTAGTTCTCTTACCGGACTATTCACATACGAAACTACCGGTCTTATGGAGTTATCCTCTTTATGTGTTTTTATCAGGTCATATAGTTTAAGGCAAGAGGGGTTCATGTTGGTGATTCTCCGTTTCTCTAATACCGTGAAAATGATTTTAGTATCTGAGAGAAAGTTTCTCAGTTCTTTTTGAATATTTTTCGTTAGGTCTTTTTTGATGACAGTGAGGTTTTCATTTTGAATGACTGTTTCAATTTTCTGAATATATGTTTCTTGTTCAAGGATAACGATGAAATCACTAATTGTTGACCTAACTTGGTCATAAAAATGTCAAATTCTATCTGGTGGAGTTTATGAGTAAGTTCAGAGTATGATACCTTCGAATAATGTTGCAGGATAGTTCATTTTGAGAACAATGTCCTGCACTTTTCTTTTAGCCAGCGGAGAAGGCGATAATGAAGGCACGAGTGATCTGGCTAAAAGAAGAGTGCAGGACACTGTTCTCAAAAAGGAGTATCCAATGTGAATATAAACAGTGATTGTTTGTTGAAACTACTCTCAAATGTAAAGTATATAGTGAATAACTGTGGGGATGAAAACAGAAATTTGAAGTGATAAAAAAATGAGAAAATTATGATAAGATATAGAGTTTGGGTGAGTACAAACGGGGAAAGATTCGTCAATAGTTTTTTTGAAAATGTAAAACAAATTATACTTCAATAATTATCTATTTTTATAGTGTCCCTGAATATGGCGACAAACGTCGGCGAAACGTTGGCAATTGAATTGTAAGTGAATGAGTGCGTGTTTTCATTTCCAACTGCCGATGAATACCTTGCAATGATTTTTTTTTGTTTCTTGCGTTTTTTTATTGTTTGCTAGTTTGGTTCGTTTTCAGATTTTCTGACAACTTTTTACACGCGCGTTCACAATCAGAATGCCTACGAGTGCTCTATTTTTGGCGTGAGAATTTTTCCCAATTCACAAATGATCGTTTTATTCCACCCTAATATAAATTTTTTATAAGACCGCTAGCGATGAAAACCCTTTTGAGATGTTTGTATCATAACACGAATCCTCAATCATGCGTTCCAAACGATATCTGCTATATAGCTGGAGGATATTTTTCCACTGAAAGGGTAATAGTGTCTTCACTTTTGTATTATGTGAATTGTAATTATTCTGAAATTCAATTGTTAACTTGTTTCAAGTTCCACCTCGGATATAGAGAATTCTGGAAAAAATGAATCTTTAGATCTATGCCAGCAATCACATCTTGTTTTCTTATTTGATTCCTTCAGTTTGGTTCTTCATAATGCCTTAATTCAGGCGAAGTAACCATTTTGATTAACTAATAATAGATGTGAACATAC